GCTTTTTAGACCACGTTCGCTACCTTGGATTTTAGAATTTTACAAATTTGACTGAATTCGTGTTTCTTGTCAGTAAATATTCCCTGATACCGCGTTTCACAAAAATTGATCCAATAGGAGTCAAAATAGCATTTTAGGCCTCGTTTGCCGTCTTTGATTTTTGAAATTTCGAAATTTTGACTAAATATTCGCGTTACCTGTCAAAATATACCCCGTGGTACGCAATAGGCGCGCTCAAAAGCGGTTAAAGTTCCAAAAAACAGGTTTAGCATCAGGAAAGCCTCTTCAGTTGGTCACATTCATGATGATAATTATTTCTTTTTAAATCAGTTAAGGCTCAAATTTTAGTCTTTGGCAAAAGTGGGCGTAATAAAATATGCGCGGTTACTTGAAACACATCAGTTAACTGGTTGTCATGCTTTATTTACTAGAGCAGGTTCCCTGAGTTAGGTTCAAACCTAAGAATACAACTATATCAACTTTGGTGTATTGCACAGTATCACACGCATTTGAAGGCGTTTTATGTTGGTCGGATCGGGACCTACTGAGAGTAGCAGAGTCTTGATGTGTTGACTTAGAGTTCTGTTTGCGCTGCATGCGTCGAACGAAAAATGATTTGTAATTGTCATATATTAGAGTCACAAATACGGAGAAACGCCGTATGAACTTTTAGACGTTGCCATATTTCCTTGGATAAACAACAATTTTAGTGGAGCTTGTGAATATTTCTCCTTCAATTTTTCAGAGGAATCGATTTGTAGTTTAATCTAAAATATTTGGACCACATTTTGCAATAAGGAGGTAACATTTTCGCCTCAGTCTGGAAGCAACGCACGAACCATTAGTTTCCATGCACGTAAGTGTTTTCATGGATGAGCCAGAAATCGTCGTTCTTAATTGCAAAATTCAGTCCAATCGTAAATTTCAAGGAAAAACATTCATAACTTCCGTCAAAAATACAAATTTAATCGGAACAAATTTGGCAACACTCGAATGTTCACGCGCTATTTTTCCTCAGCGCGGCAGTAATTTAAGGCGTATTACATTTATATCACTACTGAAGTTTCACTTCTAGATGCATTCACTGATTAGTCGGTTCGCCGAAGGGATCATACGAATTATTTGTAAAAATTAGTACCGACCTATCTCGGTCCTAACTTACTTCTCGTGGCAGAATAAGCTGGAATCGCGATAATTCAGACATTTCTCCGGTATCACACCGCGAATCGGGGACGGCGGGAAAGGGGTCTCCGGCCCCTTTAATCTACTCAGCCGGGAACAATGCCTGCTCATAAAAAAGGGCAGCAACAATATAGGTTGCGCCGAGTCATTCAGATCGGAGCGCGGCCGAGCCAACTCCACAGTTGGACGTATTTCTGCCAAACGGAACTATGTGCACTATGACGTGAGCCCTGTCGTGCATGCATTCTTAGGGGTCTCAGGGCTCATGTCTTGATGCACGTAGTTCCGTTTGGCAGAAATACGTCCAGTTCATGATTCCCCACTTTTCCAGGAAAGCGCATGCAACAAAGGCCCAAGCACCCTTCCGTTAATTCAAAATCCCTGCCCCCGTCTCCGTTTCCCGATCCCTTTTTCATGCTCAACGTTTTGACTCCGGCTTTGCGTCGCCGGCAACAGGTTACTCAAAAAAAAAACCCTCCCCCGGGAGCCGTATGCCCGGTGTGCTTCCTCGAAATTATTCAAAGTTAAAAGGCTTGACACAGAAAAGGCTATCACATGGACAGGAGACTGAAGGATTTTTGCCCTCCATGATTCAATCATGCGAATGCTTTAGACGGAGGCATTATGTTTTAGTGACCTCGCCCTGCTTTCTTACCTATGGTATAAAAGTTCCTTTCGGGAATCTTTGATCAAATTCGCGAAAGCATAAATCGTCGTTTTTCCTATGAAAAATGTTGAATCCATTTCAACGTTTCCAAATTTCCACATGGAATTTGTATTTTTATTCAGAAACTATTGGATCATTTTTACTGAAAATTTCACAAAATTTTTCAGGAAGTGCTGTAAAATCAGCGAAGTTTTAAGCAACCGTTGTAGTGTAATTTTTATGTAATGAAAAGATGGCCAACTTTCCGAACAAGGACTATCCAAACTCACGGTTTAGAGGATTCATTTTTTTATCACCAATTTTTCACTTTTTTCGATGGTCTGCTCTCTTTCTAAAAACTATTGTAAATCTTACTAGTAGCAGCATCAAGGATATTTTATGAGGGAAACGCTTTAACAACAGTTATTTCGAAGAATTTATTCCATCGCTTTTCACGAATTAAGGGTGTTAACAAAAGCTTGTTAGCTGAAATCTGCAGATTATCCGATCTTTTATCCTTATGTTTTGGCTCATCTGAATCGGCCAATTTTCATCGCACAAGTCTCTATATGATCCAGTGTTTGTTCACCGAATTCCGTATTTTCGATGAACAGGACGTTGCATAATTTAAGTAACCCTTGAATGAAAACGGCCTCCAGTGATATTAGATTGTTTGACATAGGACATGTGCGCACACCCTGTTTTCGAACTAAGTTTTAAAGATTTGTATAATCATTCAGTGAATCGGAAAGTAGCTCAGTGCTCTGTAAGTATTAATTTATGCATCGTTCTTTTGTTCCAGGTAAATATGGATCACAATCGTGTTCTTTTCCAAAAAAGCTGCCTCATTTGCGAATTTTTCCGAGAATATGAATCTCCAAAGCGGTAAAATATTTTTACATTTTGTATCACGTCATTCTCAGATGCTGTTTGTAAACCGAATAAGCCCAATATTTTTTTTTATACGTAAAGTCTTAAGTCGGATTACATTGACCCGTATATACTCCCCGCACTACCTGCATTACCCGCATTACCTGTTTATTATTTATATGTTTTTGAAGGTAAGAAATGCGTATATTGAAATTTCCACCGCTCTTTTGGTAACAAATTGGCGCTTTTTCACTCCGTCCTCTTCATTCGCTGTATGTAACTCCCCCAGTAGAAATAGTCAGTTCAGTTTGACCCGGCTCGGTATTTCTAAGAGGAGTTGTCAAAAAAATTCTCTTACACGACCTGACTGTAGCCAAAATATCAATTTTTAGACGTTCGCCCTTTGGGGCGCTCGGGAGTGTAACCGCCACAGTACCTGGCCCTCCCAAAACCCTTCAGGGAGTTGGCACTCCCTCATTTTATTTAAGCCACCCCCTGTCGCCACCCTTTCACTGAGGGCGTCGCGTCCCCAGTGTCCCCTTCGTCTCCTCCCAGGAGGAGTCTAATAATAAGCATCTTCTTTAGCAGCCTCTCTTCCGTCATCCTGTTAACATGGCCGTACCAGACAAGTTATTCGACGTCATGATCAAACGGAGGAATTATTTTCAATAAAATGGGTCAGTTGCGCTTGTCTCAGAATTTTCTTGATATTTAATTCTTGTAGATTAGCTAAAAATAATAAGATCTGTTGAAATAGCCGTTCTGTAGCCCATCTGTAGTGATTTGCCGTTTGGGCAGATCCTATCATTTTTAGCTAGTTGACAAGAAGGGAATTTTATTTAAAGATCCGAACCTCTTTGGCAACTTCTGTCCCGGTTTGTCTCATCAATCACCAACACCAGTTGACACCATTGTTACCAGATTTGACCAATCAGATCCGTTGATTTTCGATAGGCCGCACCTTTTTAAAACCACCTCGACCAAAATCACGCACCGACGTTGAGATTTGTCCATCACTGAATCGGAAGTTCCGAACTCAAATAGAATGGCACCTCGGAGGTTAGGGCACAAAAGTAGTACCGAGCCTCTAAATAAAATTTGCTTAAGAATCAAGCATCAAAATACGATTTTGTGACCAGCGCAACTTAGAGTCCCTTTATACTGAGAGTCATTGGTTCCCGTATTTTAGGCCTTCACAGTGTCACAAAAGGGACTAAAGATTACATTTTCACCGATTGCAAATATAATATAGAATGGACCGGGGAATAACGGGTTCGACAAGGAACAAAGGGAATGAGAGAAGGAACGGAGAAAGGAATTTGAGAATGGGCCGATCAAATATTACAAAAAACTGTTGATTTGTATATTCCCATTTGTGACTCCATGAGGAATGTCGTCTTGACTCTCAGTATGAAGGGACTTTAGCGCAACTGACCCGTTCTCCGCTCAAAGAGTATGCGCCAGGTTCATATTCCCAAAACTTAATTTTTGGACCGGCAGCTCCCCCCGGTTAAAAGACCGAGCTTCGTCGTTCCGGAATCGGATTCATTTGGGAATGGATGATTCGGGAATCGCCGAGCCCTCCCGCAAACAAACACGCCGGGACCGGGGCAGATCTCTCTGTGCAAATGTTGATCGCCCGACGAAGTGGTTGCGTCGTCCCGCTCCGTTCCCCGTTCGGCGCTTCGTTCGAATTTATTAAACGAGGCTCACGTGCCGCCGAATGGGGGGCCTTTTCCGAGCNTCACCGAGATCCGGCGCGTATTAGTATCATTATTCCGAAATTCGATATCACGAGCACTTCCCTGTAATAAATTTCACTTGAAACTTTCGTAAAAATACTTTAAAATCTTTAAAATTCCGGGAGCACGGGAGCACACTTCCGATTCGGTCGACGTGACAACCTAACCTCGGGGAATCGAAATTAAAAGAGACCGGACGGACGGAGGAAGAGGCGCAACCGCGCCGCCCCACAACAGCGTATCGCGCCGGGCTCTGTGTTTTGAGTTGTGCTGTTCATGCTTTGGGGAACCGACAGCGCGGAGCTATCCAGCTACTGTTTGCTAAAATAGCTCTGCTAATTAATTGCACTTTGTCAGGCGACCACCCCGGCCCGGATCGACCCGGCTAAATCCCCCGTTGCCACCGCCCGGAAAAGTCGCCTCGGGCTCCGTGTGCTCTTCTCCCCCTTCCGTAGGAAAAACGTCGTATGAACTTTCTGGTGATGCTGGATTTCCTCTGATTAAATACATAATATCTAGAAATATTTGGAGCATTTCCGCGCCCCTTGGAATTTTTCGAGTATGTTCTTCGCCAGTTAAAAGCACAGGCTAGTTAGTTAAGNCTCCTAGACAGGTTGCTTTCACTTCAGCTCAGAGCCCTGTCTGCCCTTCTAGCAGGTGGTTCATACGCCCAGAGGCCGGTGACCATCTCCACTGCCCCCTTTGAGGCAGGGGCTACCAGCTGGGGTCCGCAGGATTGCTAAACCTGTGACAACAGTCCCCCATACGGCTAAGTTGATTTAATATACTGGATGTAAAAAAAGTGTGCGAGAACTTATAAAATGCGGAATTGCCCGCTACAGCAGTTAATTCAGCAATGCCAAGATATAAAACTAACTGCTGTGGCGGGCAATTCCGCATTTTATAAGTTCTCGCACACTTTTTCAACATACAGAATGTTAAATCAACTTCACTCTCTTTTCTGTGTGTGTTTTTAATTCTAAAATGAAGAGTTATGAGAAAAGTGGAAGAAGAATAAGATGACGAAGAATCAGATTAGGAGGAAGAGAAAGAAGATGAAGAAGAGGAGCAAGAGGGAGAAGACAAAGAGGAAGAAGAACTGCAGTGGCAGATCAAGAGCGAGTTTGGTAGGGGGCATTTGTTGATGGCGAGTGGGGGGTCTGGGGGGACTCCCTCGGAAAACTTGCCGAAAAAGGTCCTGTCAGATTAAATTTTAAGCAGTTTTAGCATACAGTTTGTGTATTATTTTAAAGTTCAAAATTGACGAATAATACCTTTTTTAGAGAAATTTTATTTTGGTGTTTGGTCTTTTATTATTTGGTCGTCTATTTAATTCTTTGGTATTGAGTAACCTTTGGTTTAGTAAACTTGGTTAAATCGTTCTGAAGTTTTGTCTCGACACCATTTCAGTAAATTTTCAGAGGCACATTTTTTCTTTCCCTATTTCCACCCCTTTCCTTCTTTTTTCCTTGTTATTCCCCCTTTTTCTGGCCCGATCCGCCACTGAGAAGAAGAGGAGGGAAAAGAGGAAAATACGAAGAGAGAGAAGAATAGGAGAAAGAAGAATTTATTTCTCTTCCTCTCTTCCTCTCTTCCTCTTTCCTCTTTTTTCCCAACTCATCTTTTTGCATCTCTCCGTTGTCCCAACCCTTCCGTGACACCAAAGAGGGTAACATACCGTCCTCCCATTTCCCGGAACTAGTGCCGAATTCCGGAACTTTTGACAATTTCCTAAATTTTCCCCAGAACTTTTGAAATTCACGGAATGTTCCAGAGCTCTTGCATTTTCCGGAACTTTTGAATAACGCTAAAGAGAGTCCCGGAACTTTTGACGGTCATGAAGTGAGAGAAACCGGAACGAAAAAGTTCTGAATCCCGGAACTCCGGAACATAATCGGGCGAGCAGGCAACCTCGGCGTGGCGGGCACCCCCGGGCCGCAATCGCGCGATCGAATCGGGATCGGGCAATTACGCCGTCAGCCGAGAAAACTCGCTAAACAATAGCGACATAGCATCGGCCGCGGCCGAGTAATAGATTTCTTCATTCGCCACCCAACGCCAACGCCACGCCGAGCCGATCCGGAATCTCCGCCGTATCCGTGTCCGTGTCCGTGGCTCCCCGACATATTTCGCTAATTACGCCTCCGCTAATTAACTTGTAAATTTTCTACTCCGATCGCCCGTAGCCGACCGTGTAATTAAAACGAGGGCCCCGCTCAACAATACCGCTCTCTTCATATCCTTCGTTCCGAACCCGGGCTCACGTCATCATGAAAATTCAACCGTCGAGAACCGTGTCCCACGCAAATTCGACGGATTGACATGAATCGGCCACGAAGTAATCGGAGATTTCTGAAGGCTCCTCAGCGGGCTGATTATTAAATTGATAGATGAAGCCATAGACAAAGAAGACTAGGGTGTATGGAGCGATCCTATTGGTTGAAATGGGTGGCGCATATACACGGAGAAAAAAACTTCGTGCGTGGGACCCGAAGTTTAAGTCATATGGATCTCTGAAGTTTTCAGATTGAGCATCTGAGCACTTTAGGTCTAGCTGTCGAGGTTCGGATCACACATCTGAAACTTCAGTTCTTACATCTGAAGTACTTCGGTTTTCACATCCGAAAAACTTCGGTTCTCACATCCAAAAAACTTCGGTTCTCACATCTGAGGCAATCCTGGAGTTCCTTTTTTAAGGAGTGTCACGCCATTTTGGGTCCTCGATGTCAGAAACTGGCAGGGACATCATACAGTTAGTGATGCTACTGTTGCCATTTGATTCTTAACAGAGTCAAACATCAAAGTTGAGTATAGCCTGCTCCCTCCTCATGGAGACTGCCAAGAGAGGCTCTTTTCCCACCTATTCTAATTTTTCATTCCTCCCGCCTTGTATCTGGTCTCTAGGTGTCAATTAAGCCCTTTTAAAAGTATGAGATTTAATTCACTTTAGAGAATTGGAAAAAAAACTCGATTTCAAAAATTTGGTCGTCACCGGTGGCGATTCTTAGAAGTTACAGCAGCACTGTGCTTCCTCCATTTAAATGCATGTAAAACACTCGATACTCGGGGAGGCTGCATGCTTCGCCTGAAGTCGATATTTTCAATCGATTTAAATGAGGGTTAAACAGCGTTGCTAACTTGCAAAGTCGCCGCTGGTCGTTTCTTCTCTCCTCTGCAACGCGGGAGGATCGAGCGGCATGCGAGGTTCCTTTAATAAATTCGCGGACGAACTGAGCGCGGAATGATAACACTGCGACCACTTCGCCGGGTGATCAACATTTGCACACGGAGATACGCCCAGCGCGTCTGTTTGCGGGAGAGCGCTATGATTTATCCATTGCGAAATGAAACGGATTTTGCATCGTCCCAGCTCGTAGATATCCACACTGAAGCAGTGGCGTGGCGTGAACTGCGATGTATCGATTGTTATGCCATTTAAACCTATGATAAAGTATCGATTATGAAGGTGTTCGCTGCGACCACCCTGTTTATCGATCCTTTTCCATATGCTTAAATGGCACAACAATCGATATATCGCAAAGCACGCCACGCCACTGCACTGAAGAGTACACAGAGTCCTAATAGAAATGGGGCAAGCTGACGTCATAACTTGACCGACGAGGAATATTAAATAACATTTCACTTTGGTGCGTGGGATCTGCAATTTGCCCGCGCTCTTGACCCCGCAAAAATCAAAAACTTATGGCTGATACTGCCGTGCTAAGGAAGAACGCCGTCCCTTTATACTGAGAGTCAAGACAATGCGAATCCATTTCTGATTGGTTAACCGGATTTTAGGCCTTCACAGTGTCACAAACGGGAATAAAGATTACATTTTCACCAATTGCAAAGATTATAATCTGGTGTGGACCGAGGAATTTCGGGTTCGACAAGGAACAAACGGAATGAGAGAAGGAACGGAGAAAGGAATTTAAGAATGAGCCGATCAAAGATTACGAAAAACGTTCAATTTGTGTAATCTTTATTCCCGTATGTGACTCCATGAGGAGTGTTGTCTTGACTCTCAGTATAAAGGGACTCTAGAGTTGCCAAAGTACCTTCGGTGGAATGTTTGTTTTTTAGGAGAGTTGTGAATATTTTTCCTTTAAATTTTCGGGACCTTTGGGTAAAATTGCGGACTAAATTATCTGGAAAAGTAAGAGGAAAATATTCATAAATTTACCAGGAACTTCGCGTTTTATCGAAGGAAATTTTGCAACGCCTGATAGTACATACGTTGTTTTTCCTCAGCATGGCAGGATAGGAGTGAAAAGTATACTCAGCTTTTCTTCCGCTTTAAATCATCTCCTCTCGTCAGTTCCAACTGATACAAATATAAAAATAAGAAACTCAGTCCGATTAATAATATGTGAATTGATAGTTTGGACCTCTGTTAAGTGGTTTATCAAGTAATTCTTTGGTGTTTAACATGTAGTAGAAAGCGTGTTGTTGTACTTGAATGGATCTTTTCAATGGGTTGTCGCAAAATAATAGTGCTAGTCCGTGTTTATGCAGTATTTTACTACTAGTGACCAGGTTCTGTGCATCATCATTCCTCACGTTTGAAGAAAACCTTCGAGGGAAGCCAACGCGCCTTCAATTTTGTGGCTATGCAATATTGACATCTATAGAGTACGAATAGTTGTATCAGGGAGTCGAGTTGTTTAATCAAGTAATATAGCGTTCGCCGTACTTTAATGACGAAACGATGGGCATTGCAAGCAGTGAGTGCGAATGCGAAGTGATACTCGAAATACATTATTAAATGAAAAATGTGATCGTTCTGTGAATAGGGACCCTAGTTCACAGAAATTCAAATTTGAGTCATTCATAGAAGGGGCTGTATTCATAATTGTCCCCTAAACACCTTTTTGTCCATTCAGAAATCCCGCGTGGTTGAAAGTGTGATGATGGGAGTTCAAAGGAGGCATTTAACATTATAGCTTCGTAGAAAAGGCAATTTTCATGACCTCTCCGTGAAACTCAACACTGTGCTTTGTCATATTTGTGAAAATTACTCATCGATGGACAATTTATAAAACAATGTATTTTAAAATGATAATGAGGTTAGAAAACAAGAAATGTACTCTTAAATTAAGAATAAAATCGCAAAAATTAAAAAAAAAAACTCACACTCTCACTACTAAAAAATTGAGTAAGGAAAGTTTTGAGTTTTTTTAAATTTTAGCGACTTTATTCTGAATGTATTGTAGTTCTTTTCCCCTACATATCTTCTTTGTTTGTAGGGGAAAGTAATTCAACATTATAACTTGAAATTTGTATAGGATGGTTAGTTAGTTACTTAATTTACGACGATCAGCAACCAGGTTATTTATGTCGGGGACCAGGAAACCTTAAATTTTTAAATTTAATTGCTGAAAGAGTTTTAAAATTTCTGTGACTACTATTGGATCATCTGAGCTTAAAGGATGTTATGGAATAGGAGAGAATAATTCTACATAATTTCAAGTCATTGAATTGACATGTTTCCTCTCAAAAAATCAATGAGTAACGTGGTTTTGAAGGTTTTTCACCGCTTAGGTGCTAAACCGCTTAGTAAGCAGACTTTAAAAACGTTGGCCTCCTTTTAAGCTCGCTCCTTTTTACCAGCTCTCTGCGAGCCCGTAGAATTTAACCAGTATCCATCTCTGATACGCCTNTATACAAGAATCAACAGTCAAATTGCAAATGCCTCGCACATGTAACATCTCCATTGGGCCAAAATGCACCGATATCAATACTTCATATGTTACTTGGTTCCTCGAAAATTCTCCTCTTGGACTTAGCCTAAAAGTGTGGACACTTTTTAGCCTCCGGCGAAACCTAGAGTCTATACGGCTTCGCCGCACGACTAAAAAGTGAGCTATGTTTTTTGTAAACTTGTAAGCTATATTTATTATAAGCTTTTAAGACTTCACTATGGTCTTGCACCCAATATGTGTGAAATCATTAGTACATAAAAATAAATAAAATAAAACAAGACTGAAATTACATTCTAACAATGCAAAATTTCCACTCATTAACTGTAGGTACGTTTACAAGAAAACTTTCGGGAGTTTTCAACTAATAATTTTCATTCCATGTATATGCAGAAATCGGCAAAATTTTGAGCTAAAAGCACAGCCTTACTCATGTAAAAAATTGAATATTTTGAGTCCCTATGGCAATCTTGAGGTGATATCATATTTTTTTGTCTAGGAAACGACTTTTGGCCTTGTCTCCTGTATGGAACTGCTGTATAGTGAAGGGAATGAAAGATGATGCATTTCAACAGCGTAAGTCAGCTATCACATATCTCGTTTGCAGAGTCTGAAAATCTCCGCCTTTATGTTACTTTTTTAAAGGAGAACAAATTGACATCATTCCTTAAAGTTTATGCAGAATTTTCTTTGCACAGAGAAGAAAAATCATGTCAGGTTTAAAGAATTGCCGTTGAGTAGTTTTCCGTTTAAAAAATAAAGTATGACAGGAAGTCTTCCACTTCGCAAACTGAGTTACTAGATTGCCGACTTATACCATCAATTTGCTTCTGCTTGGTCCTTGTAAAATAATTTGCAACTAATGCTTCTCGTGAAATGCAGAAAAACTGAAGAAAATTGTACACTAGAAATAGAAGTTTTTGAAGTAACGCACCTGTCTATCATATTTGATCATTCGAAGGAGGTGAATCCCGTGAACTATGGAAGCTTGATGAAATTTTCTTGTTACGCCTAAAAATTTCTCAAGTTCTTTTTTACTTAGATGGTCCAGCATCCTTGCATCCACCATGTTTGCGGCAAAACTCTCTGAGTACTGAAATCAAAAGAACATAAATGAGAAGATGCATTAGGAGGAGAATTACCTACTGTAAGAAGATGAGTGACTCAAAAATGCAAGATTGTGATGAGCACACTTCACAATAAAAACTGTAAAATTGAATTTCATTGTGAAATTAGGAACTACTATAGATGGCTCATTCATCCAGTATAGAACTCATTGAACGCAGCGTTTCCCTGAGAAATTCAAACTGAAAATAACGTAAAAAAGAGTTGAGGTGCTCATCTATGGTTAACATTTGCAAAAAAAAAAAAAAACAAGCAGTGAACTCCAACACAATGTGTTGATAAGGCGCGTCATTAACTCACACATATCAACCCCTTTAGTTTTCATTTACAGAGATTTCAAAATAGGCAAGTAGCACAACAAGAGAATTCATACGATCCAACTCTTCAACGATGCACTTTGACGAGACCGTGTATTGTGAATGTAGATAGCCATTCGAACGAGTTTAAGTTTTTTGATCTGCCCCCAGCAATATCTTATCAGATTCTTAAAGAAAAGTGCTACGGAATAATTTAAGCGAAGAAAGGAAAAATTCTGTCAAACTCCTGAAAGATACGGTCGATTTAAAGGTATTTTTGGGGCTAAAATATCCAAATCACCGGTACCTATTATAAATCCCGATATATTATTGAAAAGAAATTGACTCGATATAAATGCAATTGCATTAAATGTGTCTTAATTTTGTTATTTTAAACGTATTTCCATGCAAAGAAGTTCAACCATGTCCATGCTTTATGCATTCATGAATTGAAAGTAAGCAATCTACATCCCGAAAATCTACCGATTTGCCGTGAAAAATTGCAGAAACTTGATATACCAGGTCAATACACTCACTCGTTGAATTTACCAACCAATTTCGTGGGTGCAAATAAATAAAAATCAATATGCTGTAGTCATTTTGGGTGCATTTATTTTTCATGAAACAATAATAATTTCAATCCCGAAAAACCATTAATTTTCCGTATAAAATCGAAAAAATCGAGATGTGTCGACTCCCTGATGTGAAAATTAGATTCTACGTGTAAAAATACTTACACATGGATATGCTGAACAGAAACCATGTGTGGACACAATTAGGATACATAGCCCCAGAATACTTTTAAAGCTCGTTTACTTTCCAGAATCTTGGCGGAATTTTTTTGGGCTTATACGACTCAAGAGAAACTGTAGTTAAAAAATATATAGAATTTTCGATTTTGACACACAAAAAAAATGTTCGTTCAGGCACACCGTGTATTGTATGGAGTACTGCGCTGGTATTCAATCCTTGTCTTCAGATCAAAATTTTTACAAGGAAGCCCCTTGCAAGAGGCGAATTTTTTGTAATTCCTCCCAATTTTTTCTCTGTTATATAGTTGAATTGCTTGCCAAATTCTGAGGTCAATTATATTTAATTGTAATTTATACATTTCTTTTTTCCCCTTCATTTTATTTTTTGTATCGAGAAGTCGAGGTTTTGTTGATTTCTTCGGATTTTGATTACTGTAACTTCTCTTCTATTCGGCCGATTATTATGAATGAGACCTCTTTCAATTTGTCTTTGAACGGAGAGTAAGGAAAAAATTGCTAAGTACTAGCGAAACAATTTTTTCGAAAATTTGATGGATCCCAGCGTGACGGTGAAATGGGTAATCGAGTGAAAGTAATTAGGTCTGACTGTGGCGAGGGCCGCGAGGGTCGCCTTTTGTTCTTCAGCTGGGAAGCGACGCGGCGAACCGAGCCAGGACCGGGACACTACCTGGGTTTTGTGCCTGCCTGTGCACTGTTTTGGCCTGATGAGGGAGTGAATTTCTGTATGGGCCACGGTTAGCACATGGTCTAATGAGTCTCGAGGCTCATCACAGATTGCACTTACGGGTATCTTGGTTGGCATTTGCTATCAGAGGAGGAGTACCAACTTTTGCAAAGCATAGCAGGGGTATGGAGATCTGTTAAAGCAACGTTTTAAACAAAACGAAGAAGTGAAATTCTCCTTCATAGAGTGCCGACCTGATCAGCCATCCTCGAATCAGTTCGCTTGCTTCTGCTTATATATGCATATTTTAAATCAGCGCGTCGCATTCTTAGGCTTTTTTTAAAAAAACCAAGTAACGTAGACTCTTGGTATTCACTGCACATAAACTAATGAGCCCCAGAATGAGAAACAACTTTAAATCATAATTATTGACGGATAAATAAACTTTTTACACGCTTTGGAAAATCTCAGAAGTTCGCGGTAGTCACTTTTTGGTAAGGAACTAAGGGACTCGGTTATTGTATCGAGCAGGGTTCGAAACGATCGCAAAGGCGGTATACTACGTATACGCGCCAAAAAAAAAAAAAAAAAAAGCCACTAAGAAGTGGTCCGAATTGTACATAAAAAGGTGGGGAAATGGTGCTGGGTCCACAACATTTCGGGGGAAACAAAGCAAAGTAATTAACATTTGCTGAATATTTGTGTTTGAGTGGTAGTTGAGTGTTCAACTACATCTTTATTTTATTTCTGTGGATGTATCTTGGAACAAAGTTGATTGCCAATTTAACAATAAAATTGCTAAAAAAAAGTGACAGCAATGGTTTAAATGTACATTTTACAATAGCGGAAAGCTAATTAAACCACAGGCATGGTTCAATTAGCATTTTTTTTATTGTAAAATTTACATTAAAACATTGCTGTCACTTTTTTTTTTTTAGCAATTTCATTGTATAAATCATTTTTGCTGTGTGTGAGTAGGGGTTGAATGTGTATGTACTTAAGTTAAAAAATTCAATACTTCTCATGTTTTATTGTTCATGGTTGTGAAGAAGTCCTAATTATAGCTCAGTTTTACATTAAATATGACATGAATTCCTGAGTTTAGCTAGCTGAAAGCTAATTAAACCAGAAGCATGGTTCAAATAGCATTTTTTTTTTTTTTTTATTGCAAAATCTACTTTGAAACATTGCTGTCACTTTTGTCTGGCAATTTCATTCTTAAATCAGCAATTTCATTTTTGCTGTGTATGATTTGGTAAGTTAAAAAATTCAATATTTCTCATGCTTCATTGTTCATGGTTATGAAAAAGTCTTAAAAATAGCTCAGTTTTACATTAAATATGACATGAATTCCTGAGTTTAGTGTGAAAAATCTTACCTGAGCTAGTCCCAAATCGGGAAGCCACTCACTAGAAACCCAGGTATGCCCCAACTGACCAATACAAGGATAGCGAACTAGAGAAGGATGTCGATGCTCTTCAATGGCAAGGACCAACTTTTTCCGGTGCATTGGGTGCGTTATGCCCAAACCGTTCTCTAGTTCTATTTCATTCAGCTCCAGCAAAACCTTATTTGACAACAAATTATACAAATTTAGTGATCCATTGAATTTACTACAATGAGCCCCTTGACACGGTGTTAAACTAAACATGTTTTTCACAACATACTTATCAGCTAAAAACCTGTGATACATTTTCTTATTGAATTCTTTTTTTTACTATTTTTAAAAAAACAGTTTATGGAATCACATGATATTCTTTAGAAAAAATAATACTTTTTTTAGAATAGCATCTGTCTTTATAGACATACATGTTAGTTTGTAAGTATAAAAGTTAAAGACCTTTATCTTTAAACTCGTATTATTTACCACCCTCTTGGGCATTACCTCGTTCTACTACTTCAATATAGGGCACTTTATTTTCCAATCCTAGTTTCATCATTTCTATTGCTTTACTTACATACGGATGTATTTTATCCCAGTTTTCTTTTCCTTCGAGCATTATCATTTTAATTATCGTTTGTTTGTTTACTTCCTTTCTTATTTCTGCTAGTGCAGTTGCAGTTGCTATGCTAATTTTTCGAAGAAAATAAAATATAAGAAGAAATTTCGAAACCTGCTATTAAAAGATGTGATTTGCCGTTTAACCATCGACATGATTGATACTTTGTTAGGATTTTGTAGAGTTTTTAAGGAAGGAAAGAGGATGGTTTACAGGGGTGCTTACTTTGCCAGATTTGATGTTTTCGGAACAGCGAGGACCGTACTGAGGCATGCCTAGAGCTATTTCTAGCCAAGCTAGAACTGTAGGTGCTCGCCATCGTTCCATTGGTACAGATGCAGCTTCTCGTAACAGTCGCAGTTTCTCCGCATAACCTTCTTCCGTTAGCGGAGACCAGCTCCTTCCATGCGAGTCTCCAACATCTGAAACGACTATAAAAATTGCAATTTTGCAATTTAATCAAACTGAAAATGTAATTAATTTCTATTATATTAAAATTAAAACAGAGGTAAATTAAGTTTTTGATTGGATTACAGATGAAAATTTGGCATTCAAATTCTGACAATTGTAAGATTCACTAATCATTGTAACTCTAATGTAACTTTTTTCATGAGTTTTATTTTGTCTTCAAAAAGTAGTTTCTAGATGTTCAATTAGAAAAATATTTATTTTACTGTAAAATATCAAGCTACAGTTATTCATACCTTCATGAACGCTACTAGGACTAGAGACTTTCCGGTGTCTTGATCTGGCAAACACCCTAGAAATACTACCCCATGTGCTCCCAACTCCACTCCGGCCGCCACTTGACCGCAAAAGTTTATTCCTTCGAACAGGTTCACTTTCTAAAGGTGGGCTATTTAGCTGTTCCACAGATCTGAAAAATATGTAAACAACCGCAAAGTAAGAACAGGCACTTATCAATATGAGATATTTAAACTGCACTGAAAAAAAAAGTTGCTAAAGTAACATCCTGGATGTTAAAAATCTGCTTTGACACCTCTTGAATGTTGTTCACACTCTGGTTGTTAAAATAACATCGTAGCTTGAACTAGTTTTCACTGATTTCTGGTTTTTATTGTGACAACTACATTTTTTCTCTTTTCTTCAGTGAATACACTGTTATTATATTCTAAAAATTAATGGAAAAAAATTAAATATGAGATACTTACCGAGAGAAAGTATTATTATCCAGAGATCTAGAGAATGAATGAGCATTTAATGGAGATAAGGATGGACTACTGCAGTCTTTTGGATTGATAATAGCTGGAACAAAAAGGAAAGGTACACTTTAGAGAAATACGTACGGTTGTGATGACTTGGAAAAAATCATTGATGGAAAGATGAATTAAACATTACAGCCCTGCTTTAGGCTGCACTGGGAAAAATATGGTGCCAAATATATTTTATCCTAGCATCAACAATAGGTTCCAATACTGTTTAAAAATATTAGATAGGTGAGTACTAGCATGTTCAGAAAGAGAGAAATGTATACAAAGGACAACAGTGTACGCAATAAGATCACATGTGAGCATAGTATCATTTCTTATTTTCTGCAAGAGGGTCACACCTTTATTCTTATCATTCACATTAATATTCCGAGGTCAGCTTTTTTTCTGCATGTATTTTGTTCCGTGAAAATTTAAACCAACTTGTAGTGTGCGTACTGCTTTCTTCCACCAGGCAAAAGTGTACGAAAATTCTGAAATTTCTTGCAGCTACTGTTTTCAAATTAAAAGTGACTGCAACTCTCAAGAAAAAAAAATAGCTTTCAACCATTAGCGTTAGCCGAAGTACTTTTGAGTAATGGGAAATGAGGCCCATTTTTACTACCGAGACAATTCTCCATACTTTTGATAATCGCTCTTAAAATGATCAAGGATATGTATACATTTGAAAGGCTCCAACAACATGCTCGCATTTGCCAAAATTGGTACTTTAATTGGTTGAGTGTGCAAAAGTTACTTTTGACATCAATTTGTTGTGAAATATGTAATATGATATTAAAGGAGAGCTCACATGCACATTTATTCGTTTGAATGAAAAGATAATTGAAAAGATGTGTGCATGATGTGCGCATTACATGCTAAACACATAACAGAGCAGTGAAAAGTGCTAAAATTGTGTGCTGTTACGAATTGAAACAAATGAATGGAACAGGTTAATAAAATTAATTTTCGACCGCACCATTTCTCGATCAGAATATTTTCAGATACCATAATTGGGAATTTTCACAAACTAAAATTTTAATTTTACCAGCCGAATTAAACTGAGTCCAAAATCAGGAAACAAATTTTACTTTTGTTTGATTGACCCTCTGTCTCATCATATCCATGGCTAAAGGGAAAAGTGTACTAGGTACTTAGTGAGCCGTCAAATACGGAGTTGCAGTAAGGTTGTGTGGATGAGAACAATTACTTTGCTGCTCAAATCAGATTCTGGTCAAATATATCAATTTTAGATCCAGATTAAAATTTAAAATACCATTTGATAAGCATTTAGAATTTATGAATCACCCATGAAAATGTTTGTGTTTTGTTTCGTTCAAATTGGGTCATCGGTTTTTATTAGTTTTTGTTTTCTAGTTATACAACTATATGTTATATGAATAACGATTATGAAAATAGTTCAATACACCTGTTATTAAAAACCACTTACAGTTAGTGCATGAGTAATGGCAAATCATTTGAATTAGAGCATGCTCAAGGACGATAGTACAAATATTATACCAAAGCTATTCATGTTATTATATTTCAGGTTCTCTGGCATTTTAAAAGCTGAAATAAAAATCTCGGAAAATGAAAACTTAGCAGCCACTGTTGGATTTATCTCGTATTTTGATTGAGAAACTGTAAAAAAGCATAACTTGTTTGCAACTGTTGTTTAAATTTTTGCTCCTTTTTTGTTTTCAATACTAATAATATTCATAACGAAGAGATGAAAAATCTAGGGAAATTTATAAAAAATGACGTTGACTATTTTTCAATACAAAAAATAAATTATAACAAGAAATCTACCTTACTGTAAACTGAGATACACATTTTTGCAGTTTCCCCGGCTTCTTTATGTACCTCCTGCCCTCTCCCTTTTTCAGTGCAATTGGGCTCAAAGCCTACAACTTAATAATACCTGTTCATGAAAACTGCCTAAGTATTATCAGGGAAAATGCAGACTAAAAAAAATTCTCTGACTCAGCTTTCCTTTTTCTCTATTTATCTAAAACAGCAAAAGTTGCGTAAAAAAGGAACAGTTATGGCTGTCTTGATGATAGCGAAATTTTAATAAATGTAAAGAAATGAAAATACATCAATAAAAATCCACAATTTCTCATGGACTCTGCCAACTTTTTCCAATAAAATCATTTCCCCTAATTTTCCTTGGTTTTTATGCTCTACTTCCTTAAATTGAAAATATGTACCCATTTTTTTTAAATCTCTCATGTTTTTTGTGCAGGTGCAAAATATGCAGCAACAAGAGAAAATAAGTTTAACTACCAGTAATGGAGGAAATAGTGCAGAAAAAATAATAAAATGTGCGCTTCAACACACAATAAATCAAATAAATTTAATTCCCTTGAAGTTCAAATGAAAATGTATACTTCTACGGCAAACTTAGAGTGATAAAGATGTTTACTATGGTCCTTGCTTAAGACGTATCTGATGTTGCTATCAATATAGAAAATTTTCCACAATCAAGAACTCCATGGAAAACAAACTTAATCAGAAATGGGAGCTCTTTGGGCAAGGTTCTCAGCTAATATCTTCTTCCCCGAGAAAACATACTTGCACGCAGAAAATACACAAAAGTAACTAATACTTTAAAGAACAACCAGGAACATCCAGGGAATCTTCCGAGGAGCTTTTCTGAGATTAGCATTCAAATTTCCTGGAAAACGCCGAATCATCATAACTCCAAGAACCTGTTTGAAAGGAATGCAAAAGCTGTTCAATAAAATGAGGGGTAGTGACATGAGAACGCCTATGATGACGATGAATAAAGAGGAAAAAAGTGCCGGGGGACTCACATTGGTACAAACTTGGAGGAGCGATGGATGAAACTAGTGATATCGAGTCAAACTCTCCGGTGCTAGGCTCGATAGTGATTGTGGGGGCACCTAAAACAGACACCATGCATTGACCTAGATGAATGACAGGCAATAGAGTGGCTTATTGATTATCTCTTTCCGAAATCAACAACTGGACAGGGTCAGAGGCGAGGCATCACATTCGGTGAATTCCCAAAAAAAATTTTATGTAAAACCTTTGTGTCAAGTTTCGAAAAAAGATGAGACATGAGCTACCTACGCAGGCGATGAGCTAGAGTGAGAATGAACAGAAATAATCAACACAGAATGACTGAGTGTGTACCTGGTCGATACCACGAGTGAATTCTGCGGTGCCGTGTAAACTGTACTCGGCCGAGTCCCTTGAGTGTTCCTCCTTCCGAGTACTCTTCTAAATATTCAAAGTATCATTAGGCTAGCATTGGATAATATTAAAGAGGGCATTATATTTTAAGGCAACCATAAGTCATTGGAGAAATGTTTTGGTGGAGAATTTCGACGAATTTTGCTAGGAATGGTCGGCAGAGGTCAATGGGTCACTAAACCTTGTTTATTTTATTGAATATTCTGAAAATACAATGTGAGTAGATAACGTGGTGATTTTTCTGCATTTTTATGGAGCCAAAATCGCAGAGAAACCCGCTTTTGAAAAATCTAAAAACTGCAAGACATTTCGAACGCACCCGAATGGCGGGAAACTGACGGTGTTGACGCACTGCGGTAGTCATAGTGCAATCTTCTCTCATTTTCCTCTGATGTTTGTTTAAATAAAACAAGTTTCAATGTGGAATTGTTGCTCGTTTATTACAGCTAACATATGAATGCGATTCAAGTCTTGAATTCAAAACATATAATTTCGACTTTAGTATTGTTTTCATATACGAAGAGTAGATAGACATTTGACGGAAGTCAAGGAAACCCTTGCCCACTTCTGATTGGTGCCGGATGACATCATTCGGCGCAGCGCGAAACCGTTTTTTAAATTTGCGTATAAGTTGTGCGATTTGAACTACGCATTTCTTGGTTATTGAGTTACTTGTTCCCGTTTTTAATGAGCGTATCGTGTTCTATGCGTCATTTTCCTTCAGAAAACTATATTCGCAAGTCAAAATTCGTTCATGGTTTAGTGACCCATTAGAGCTGAGTGCTGTTTGTTCTGAAAACTTCTCCAGCTTGGAACGCTACGGATCTTTGTGCCAGATTGAAAAACTTGGTGCTTCTTTATTACAAATTATGCATTTAGAGTTTTTATTGAGCTCAGACGTTGATTATTGACAGGTAATGGCACTTTCATAAGCCAGGGAGTCAAAGTAATCAATAATAAATTGGATAAAAACTCCTAGATTCTTGTAAGAGCATCATCTAGAAGTATTTGCTGGGAATTTTATTGTAAAAACCTTATACATCACAACCTGCACCACAAACGTAAAGATTTTCTACGTGAGAGCACAGCTAAGTATGACTTGAAACTTAAGAGAAAAAGTTATACTTGCGAATTAAGAGTCATGGATTTTTATTGGAGGGCAGAATTTTGTTACTGCCCCTCCAATAATTTGTTAGTGAAGCAAAACAATGTACATCCTCACTTATTAAAACTTTCATGGGCAGAAAAAATGCTATTTGTTAAGAAAAAGGCTAAGAACTGTCAATTTATCGGTTGTTAATTTTGGTGGACAATGCAAACTGAAAAATTTTTCACACCAAAAGATAAGGTTCATTTTCATTATTCAGAGAAACTTTCAAACATATTTTATAACTCCTAACACTTTTAAAAAATGGTTTGGGAAACAGCTTTGTGCCTCTAACATAAAAAATGAAAAAAATGAGTTCCAGAGATAATGAGGAATTTAGCTTTCAATAATTTGTTGTTTACAGTTCATTCTAGAAATTCTCTGGCTATTACTTTTAGAGACACAATTTTGAAGAAAAGAAGGTCAAAAATGCAGAAAATGCCTGTATGAGCAGTTTATGAATTGCGACAAAATTTATCAGGCATGATAAGCAATCTCAACAAATTTTTGAGACCTTCTCAAAATGGAGGAATTTTTTGGAGAAGTTGGAGAAATTTAGGAATTATGGCTGTTAAAATACCTTCTTTTTTACATTCAAAAATTTCCATTAAAAGCAATGGATCATAAAAAGTGACCATGGAAATTATCCGCACTCCCATACAGCGTTCATTTATTTTTAAAATCATCATTTATTTTCACGATACAAAAACTGTTCCTTGACTATTCTGGCTTCCAAAAAACTTTCAGTTTGCGAAGAGCGTTATTTGATTTAAGCACTGCACTGAATAGCAATGAAGAGTCTAATTGTTGATGCCTACAAAACAAGGAATCCTTTATTTACCATCGGTTGTGGAGTCAGAGAGATTTCCACCGGCAGATGTTGCTCCAGATTCTCTGTCTGAGCTACCGCGAACACCAGAATCAGCACTACAAGAGCCACGATCTCCCGCTGCAGGGACCAGGCAAACATTGGTGCTCATTCCGTTTACCGTTTTGGCACTGGCTCCTCCACATAGCGATACTGAGGCAAGACTCTCTTGATCAGAGAGGCAACCTGCCGCAGACAACTGCCGGCGAGCCTACAAAAACACGGCAGAACCATAAATGAACGAAAAAATGTCTTGGCTTGATTTCACAAGTGCATAAATTGTAAAATACAATGGACTTTCGCACAATTTTCAGTTGCATAATTGCGAAATTGAACTTAGCAGCCAGCTTAAATAAGATAAAATAATAAAAATTTATTTGTTATTTGAACATAAAAGGCTAGCACAAACTTATCAAACTTTACTTTCCGTAGATAAAAAGAAAAGAAACTTTAATCACATTTCATATCATTATAGGTAAGAAACTTAGTTCCTGAGATTATTAGAAATATAATTTGTTTTGCTCCCCTTTCTTGATTTTCAAAACTCAACGATGAAGTCAACTTTTAAGGGGATTCGTGATTAACTTTAGCTGGAAAACAGAATGGACCATGAGTATTCTTACCAGAGAATGTCAAAACAACAGTAAGGTCACAACTATAATAGAACTAAAAAATCTCGTAGGTATCTTGATTCTGACAGGTCATACTTTAAGCTCTTGTTTAACATGGTGAAGAAAAGCGAACATGATCGATGACTTAGAATTTTCACAGAATGTGTTTTTGATACAAAAAGGAGATCAAAGAAACTTTATAAATTGAAATTGCATTGTATTCCATAGCAAATTAAGCACCTATGGTAGGGGTTTTCTTTACAAATTGCTACAAATCACCGGCTTAAGTCTGCAATCACATATCTCGTTAGCTGTGTCTGAAAATCTTATTTTTTTAGAAGAGAACAAATTGACATCATTCCTTGAAGTTTATGCAGAATTTTTCTCACACAGAGAAGACAAATCACGGTAGTTTTAAAGAATTGCTGTTGAGTAGTTTTCCATTTGAAAAATAAAGAATGACAGCCGCAAACCAAGTTATGTGACTGCCGATTTACACCCACAATATATATTTCTACCAGTTTCACGATCAATCTGTAGCTGCTAACTGCGACAAACAGCATTAGTCATTACTAGAAAACTGTACATAAATTTTTACGACAAATTTCGATGGCTGGATTCTTATTTTCTTTAAAGAAAATCTAAACAACGATTTTCATTGAAATTTTTTGTGGATGTTCTTCACATCTTGAAATTTTTGGAAAAAAAAATACAGTAACTTTACCTCTAAAAGTAGCTGTTCTTTGAGATCAAGCTGTGCAGCCAAACTTAGACTACGCTCTGCTTCATCTCTTGCGTGCCGCAGAAGACTCCACCGCTCTCTTTCTCGTTCTGCTCTTTCTTGTGCTAATTGTTCTTCACTTTCACGCATCCTCTGTTTTAATGAAAAATCATAAAATATTAATCTACAGTATAGAAAGGAACTCTGGAGTAAAATATACATACTCTACTGTTGATTGTATTTTTAATTGATACTTTAGCGCCAATAAACTTGCGAGAATGAATCAGTTGCGCAAATCACGGAATCGTGTATTGACGGTTTAGATTACAAATAATCAGGGTGTCTATAAAAATTTGATTTCAATTTTATCCTGAATTTTTCTAATATTTCAAATGAAATTCTCTGATTTAAAACTTGGAAAACTACGGAGGATGGAGTAAAAAAATTTACCTGCTCAAAACTTCTGATAAATTCCCTGAGTTCCTTCTCCTTGTCACCCAAAGTACCATACAACTGTTTCATTTGATTAAGCAGATCAAACTTTTCAGCTTTCAGCCTTTTGCGGTCACTTTTCAGAGCTGAAAGAAAATTAAAAAGCATAAGTGATATTTTTTTTTCAAACATAAACTCTGCGGTATGTAGATTAGCAGATAGATAGTATAAAAACTGCTGCTCAGTGTAGCCATAAATTGATAACCAACCAGAAAATATATCACCGGTTTTGCCCATTAAATTTCATCTTTTCACTCTTTTTAAGGAAAATTTAAAACTGTTTCCACGCAAAATTTGAACCAGCAGGTAGTCAGGTAGAGGCAGGGCCATGGAAAGAAAGGGGAAGACTTTAAGCAATTTTGACAGGAAAATTTGGAGCTCAGAGCCAAGCAGAGACCACAGGGATTTCAAAAATTGGCTCAAAGATGGCCAACTGTTATCCCTGGTAGGTATTATTATACAGTGTAGCCGAATGGTAATTAGCGATGGTATGTAAACAAGAAAGAGGTATATTTCACAGAGCTCTTTTTGGGTATTGAATCTTTCTGAAGCTATTATGCTCCTCAATTCCACAGTAGTGCCTCATTGAATTTTTAGAAAGAACTTCCAAAATGTCTCAAACAATATCAGTTTACCAAAGTCAGAAATTTATTCCATGAGAAGATGATAAAAAGACCAACAATTTAAAAAAATTCCTAAAAACTGCAAAAAATGACAATTTTTGGGAATAAATTAGGTTGAGAACAAGATGTAGACCACTTGTTTCCTCGTTGATTTTGCCAATGAGATATCAGCAAAATATTTATAAGATATGAGAGATAACTGACGCTATGTAATCTTCAAGTCCCTCCGAAAATTTTTGCTGGGCAACCATTGCAAAAGATTGCAAATAAATCTGAAATGCAAACCTGTTGTTGATATCAGCACACAGCTGAATTCAGATGGAGGAGGATATCTAAACCTTAAACTGATCCAAAACTTCTTAAAGGTGTCTGTGAATTATGACATGACTTTTTTTCTTAAGATTTTAGATAGTACCTAGATAGACTTTTGGGTATTGAAAATAAAAACCTTTTTTACCTGCTAGCGCTTGCTTGGCTTGACTGAGCTCTGTTTCTAAGGCTGAAATCTTTTCACTGTCATTTAGATCTTCATTGGCTGCTATCGATGATTTCGCAGAATCAACAGGTGATTTTGAACTTGAGTCAATACTATTGCATAGGTTTCCAGTTGCTATACCAGACACGGAAATTAGTTTCCGCAGTTCGGCCACTTCTCTCTTGAGGCGGTCATTTTCCAATCTGAGACGTGTGCTTGCGTTACAGCTGGATTGAGCATCGTTTGAGAGGTTGGCTATATCTACATTGCTTTGATTAGATCCACCTACTGAAATAAGAGAAAATTGAATAAAAATTCCAAATTTTAGAGGAGTACATTAAGAAATACACATTACAATATGATAAAAAAAGAAGAAGAAAAGCTTAGGATTAAATTCTTCTACCTGAAGGGGTTCCAAGAAAAGTAAAATTTTGGATGAGATAAGTTGGAGTTAAATAAACAAGTTGAGCAACGTTTATTGTTGGGAATCCGAGAAATGCGAAGTGGAAATTTAAAAGTTAAAATGAGACAACACAAAAACTTTAAACTGATGCAAAGGAAGTAGGAAAAAAGTTTTTTAGGTTGATTTTTTAAATTGCTGTTCTTGTTTTCTTTTCGGTCGTGAAGCCTCCGTGAGAAAGGGGGGGAAAGATGACAATTTTCTCCCTTAAAAGGTACTCAAACTATTCCCAGTGATGGCAAGCCCACGTCCACCAATCACAGCTGCCCTCGGGCAACATCCCGCGCAGAGACCACGCGTCTATACCTATAAAGATGGTACTCTTACTGCGTGCTCATCATAAACGCCTTCATTATTTCTGTCTGCAACATGCAAGACAATTTAGCGGAGATAAGAGGCGCTAGCATCATTGGCCGTTTTCTTGTCTTACAACGCCCGAAACTTAACAGTTAAGGAACTATTTCTTGGGGAAAAAACATCAAATTAGAAAATAATTAAATTAGTTACTAGTACCAGAGATGAATTGAACTGCAGTTGGATATAATTATGCTATAAGTAACTAGATAGAGGTGGAAAAGGAGTGTGCTCCTTAGTTGAGGGCTGTAAGAATGAATGGGAATTATAAATCGCCAGTGACGTCAGCGGCGACAACGGAGACGACCTTCCACGGATCCGAGTCTTCAACTCATGAGCCCAATCCACAAAGCTCTTGTCACGTACCCAAGGCTCATGAGTTAGCATGTTTTGGCGATTAGTTCCTTTTGATTTAATTTAAAATCGGACTTTTCCATTTTCTCAAAAGGAATCACGCCCATTTCTACAATATTTCTCATGCAGCTTCCACGACCACACCCCCGTCTTCCCCACACGTCTCTAGTTCCTTTTAGCATAAATACGTCCATTTTTCAATTGGGAACTACAATTTCTTGTAACTACAGTTTCTTGGGAACTACAATCTTTTTCGAAAGATTATATGTCAGGGTTGCCACCAAATCTAGGAAATGAAATTCCCTGACATTTTCTCGACACATTTTGATGAAATTTCCTTGCCTCGAAAGCAGCCCCGATCAAATGTTGATTTAGAAAAATTCACATAATTATGGTTATTTTTTAACACAAGCTGCGCCGGAGACTTAAACGCGAGGGTAAGAAAGTAAGAGACATCGAAAGGCGCCGCGCCACTTCGCACAGACACGTGAAGAAATGAAGGCACCGAGATTCTGAGATAAAAATGTAAAAGGAAGGCCAGATGGTCAAAAAGACATATTTATAGATAGTATTTGGACAAAATGTGTTGTTCGACACGTCAAATCCTCTGTAGGAAACAAATAAAGATGCTTATCAATTTTCCACGGATATTTTCGTCATTTTCCCTAACATTTCAAGGTTTTCCCTGACTGTAGCAACCCTGTCATGTGCCATTAGTTTCCCCACACACATTATAAAATATGAGCCACCAAAGTAGCACAGTGCAACAAAAACATTGAAATTAAACTGCAATATGATTTTGATTTTTTTCAAACATTTTTAATTTTTTTACAATTAAATTACAATATTTTTACATCATTCAGTCAATTTATGCCGATTTTGAATAATCAACAAAATGAGCTTCATGTGTCAGAAAGATACGCAATATGCAATGGAATGAAAAATTGCAACTTATTTCAATTTTATTGCAACAAGTTTCAATGAGCAGGTCACCTTCAAATACGAGCTAGGCAACATACACAACACACAGTGGAATGGAGATATTGCATGTGTGAGGAATTTGCGATTTGACTATTGACTCATACGTAAGAGCTTGCAAGAAACACGATGGTGCCACTGGTTTTCTCTGAAATCAACTCCCAAGCTCAAGAAAAGCTCTCAAATCGAGGCCAAAATGGCCGGGGATATCCCACGCTATCCTGAGAGTCCACTTCTACATCAAGACAAACTCTCCACACAACGATCGGGAGCAAATACATTGACAGGGTTGCCGTGTTTTCAGTTGTGGAGTCCCCAAATAAAGTGGCAGCCCTGTCAATGTATTTGCTCCCTATCTTTGCATGGAGAGTTTGTCTTGATGCAGAGGCGGACTCTCGGGATAGCGTGGGATATCCCCTCCATTTTGGCCTCAACTGAGAGCTTTTTTGGGCTTGGGAGTTGCTTTCAGAGAGAACCAGTGGGACCATCGTGTTTCTCGCGAACTTTTAGATAAGAATCAACAGTATGTATGTATAAGCCGCTTTTACGGCGCTCTGCGACGCCTATTCTCCACAGGAATCTGTCATAGTAGAGATCCTCCGGAAGATGGCATCTCTCCATCTCTTCACGGATGCCCTCTACCCACCGTTTGGCTGGACGCCCTCTCCGTCGCCTACCTACCTGGGGGGAGGGGGGGGGCACTCCAACACCTTCTTCGGCAACCTGGTATCAGTCATTCTCTACACATGCCCATACCATACCAATTGCTTGGTCATAATATCGTGCTCAATCGTCCCCTCAACGCCCATTATCTCTCGGACACGTTCATTCCTGACACGTTCTCTCCTCGAGATTTCAGCCGATCTTCGCCAGAAATCCATCTCTGTCGCCTTCAGAATCAATAGTCAAATCGCAAATTCCTCACACATGCAACATCTTAATTACAATATTTTGACCCTGCAATTGCTACTTCTTGCAATCCGTGCTACTTGGGCAGATATCGTGGTTTTCCCTCCCTTCCAGGCAAACTCACCGTGATCCGATTTGCTACTTGGTCCGGGCGTCGGGGAGGCGGGTCGGACCAGCTGGAGTTGGTCCCGGAGGTGCTTCTGGAAGTTCGGGGCAGCCGCCGCGCCCTCGGACTCGCTCCTGGGCGCCGAGAGGGCGGGTTCGCTGACGTCGCTGCTGCTCAGGCTGTCCGCCGTGCTCCGCGACGACCCCGAGTCCGCGATCGCGTCCTTGCTCTGGTCGCTGTCCGCGTCGCCGTTCGACTCGGTCCTGTCCTCCCCATTTCCGCTTCCGGTCCCGTTCACTGACGTCACTTCCGGTCCGGCTCGTTCCGACGTCGCTTCCGTCCGGCTTCGCTCGGATTTCGCGTCCGGTCCGTTCCGATCTGGCAAACAAATATGCACGTGTGAGTTGACGTGGTCTTCTTGATTTTTCTCCCAAAATCGATTAAATCGAAAAAATCGATTATTTGCAGGAAAATCAAGGCAAAACATCGATTTCCAGGAAAAGTATTAAGCCCTTCGTTTTCCTTAGATGGACCACTAGACAAGGTCCTAATAAGTATTCTGATACTTACCTACATGTTTCTTAACCAGACTTTAACGTAGAACACGATTCTTGCATTGAAAATTATTGAAATCATCTCCTAACTTAGATATTAACGTTTATATCTCACATTGGTTACGAGGAACTTGAACTGCCCGCTCACGAGAAACTGAAAGATCTACGTGAGTCAAATCGCGCACTACAACGGTTTCAGCAAGCTTCTCAATCGAGCAATGTTCATTTCCCACCATGTGTTGTTCAAACTGTAAGCAATTTGCTGTAGCTGAGCCAACGTGTCAAGATTGAGGTTGCCAGATTTTTATATCGCAGAGACCGTCATGATGAACGTTCAGCGCGCGATGTGAATCACGTAGAGCATTGAGTTTTCATGAGCGGGTGGTTTCAATTCACGCATCAAGAATCATTAAATCTCTTCGTAAGGAGTTAATTTCGGTAATTTTGTTGTGCGCATCGTGTTCTACGTAAAATTTTGGTTATGAAAAGTGTTTCAGAATGCTGAAATTCGTACCTTGTCTAGTGGTCCATTTTTTCCTAAAAATGAATTATATCGAAAAAATCGATTATTTGCAGGAAAATCAAGGGAAAAAATCGATTTCCAGGAAAATTATTAAGCCGTTCGTTTTTCTTAAATTTTCGAGTCTCAGCAACGCTCCTCGCAAATATCAAGTACATTTGAGGCAATGGACAAAATGCTGTTTTACAAAACAAAACAAAAATTCATTCATAATTTTTTGGAGTCAACTCTGATGCACCACTGTGAACTCAACATGAAAGTACGGAACATCGTGCAAACTGGCTTTTATTAAAGAAAAGAGCAATTAATGTGTAAAAGAAAAATACAAAATTTGTAATTAGGTTACGGTTTTTTTGCTGCACTGGAAAGAAAAAACACATTGGATCTAGAGCCCAGACTCTTGAAAACATTGACAAGAAAAAGGACTCTTGGTTCAATCAGATTTAAGTTTAAATCAAGAACCAAGCCTCTTAAATTGAGCGAATTTCCTTTTGATTTAAGCTTAAATCTGATTGAATCAAGAGTCCTTGTTATTGTCAATGTTTTCAAGAGTCTGGGCTCTAGATCCAATGTGTTTTGTTTCCAGTGTGTGGACGACAGTATAATTCTCACCTTGATCCGGGGTGGAATCGGTGCGGGCGGCCGGAGGGCGGTTGCGGGCCGGGACGGGGGGCGCCGGGTTGGGGTTGGGGTGGTTCGGGGGCGGCTGCGCGGGGGCGGGGTTGGCGGAGCCGTTGGTGAGGTGGAGGTGCTCGTCGAGCTTCTTGCGGGTGTGCGAGAGCTCGTCGCGGATGGCCGACATCTCCTCGTTCGCCTGGTGGATCTCGCCGTCGATCCGCGAGCCCAGTTGACGGTTCTCGTCCACCATTTTTCGGAATTTATTCTACGGACACAGGAAAACCAAGTTTTAATGTTAAAAAAAACACGTATTTATGAAATCGTTCATTCGTAACGCCATTTTGAAATATGATTGTAGAGAAAAGAGTAGCCAATGTGTTATATGTGTATTCACTTATTTATTTATTTAACAAAATATGCGCTAAAGCTTTCCGGCTTGCGACCATCATCAGAGCTTAGGTTAGAAAGGTCAAAAAACACATAACAAAAGCACTTAAAAAACATTTCGCCGGTCACAATTATCGATGCTGAATTACAGTTAATGTTAATAACAGTAACAAAAACACTTAAAAAACATCAAAATTTAACAAATGTTGCAATGTAGCCTTCAGCGTATCGATATCTAGTAAGCTTTGAGCCGATATTCGCATAACTGTAATTCAGCATTGATAATTGTGACCGGCGAAATGTTTTTTTAAGTGTTTTTTTGACCTTTCTAATCTAAGCTCTGATGATGGCTACAAGTCGAAAAGCTTTAGCGCATATATTTTTAAATGAATGAATAAGCGAATACACATATAACATCTTGGCTACTCTTTTCTCTACAAGCAGAAAAACAAGAGTACGCGGCGCACAGTGGATAGAGTCGATGGAAGATGTCGGACAAAATGTGGAAACTTTAAACGCTTATAACTCCGTTCAATCAAAACTTCGCAGTTTCAAGAGTGGTTCCAATCGTTTCCTCGTGAGATATTCTCTAAGAGGCACCCCTTGAAATTTAAAATGTGGCGAAGTAAACGTCAAAATTTGCAGTTTAAGTCACAAATTTCATGTCCGACCTCTTTGCTTGACTCGACCCACTGTGCGGAGGTTGAGCCCAGTTGACGGTTCTCGTCCACCATTTTTCGGAATTTATTCTGAGGACACAAGAAAACAAAGCTTCAATGTTCAGAAAAACAACACTACGCGGCGCACAGTGGATAGAGTCGATGGAAGACGTCGGACAAAATGTGGAAACTTTAAACGCTTATAACTCCGTTCAATCAAAACTTCGCAGTTTTAAGTGGTTCCAGTGGTTTCCTCGTGTTTCCGTATAAAAAATAAACCTATCTCTGTGTGGACGAGGCCTTTCATTTATAAGGAAAGAACGACAATATTATGAAAGAATAAACATGAATGTGGTTTAATGATTTTCATTTCCGCCACCGCGCCAACCGCACTGTGTTTGGTGCAATGCATGAGGTATCCATGCAGTCTTGTAGGCGCTATGCGAGTCACGTCGACCGCTGCTGACCGCACTGTGTCTGATGCGATGCGTGAAGTATTCATGCATTCTTGTAGGCGCTAATATGTGTCACATGCCGACCACCGCGCCGAGGGCTTCTCCTTTTCATCTCAAGCCCTCGTCATCATTGCTCTCTGCGCCGTTCCGCTCCAGGCCAAATTGCGTGTTTGGTCTCTCTCTCAACTAGACTAATGAAAGGCGCTGTCTCTTGTATCACCAAAAGACGAACAAATTAGAAATTACTATACTTTAACTCTCAGGAAATGAGAATTTTGGCGCGTATACGTAGTATACCGCCTTTGCGATCGTTTCGACCCCCCACTCGATACAATAACCGAGTCCCTTAGTTCCTTACCGAAAAGTGACTACCGCGAACTTCTGAGATTTTACAAAGCGTGTAAAAAGTTTATTTATCCGTCAATAATTATGATTTAAAGTTGTTTCTCATTCTGGGGCTCCCTAGTTTATGTGCAGTGAATACCAAGAGTCTACGTTACTTGGTATTTTTAAAAAAAGCCTAAGAGTACGACGCGCTGATTTAAAATATGCATATACAGGGTGATCCAGACCACCCGTCCACTATCTTTTTCTCAAAAACGGCGGAGAACTGAGCTTCGGGACCAAAACTTTCATGGGGTAAATCGGCCCCAAAGAATCGAATGAAAATATTTTCAGCCCCCCAAAATGGCCCCTTGGGGGGGTTTTGGGGGGGAGCCCCCCCGTTTCTCGAAATTTTCAAATAGGAAGGGTATGTTTTGACTTTGGATTCGAAATCTACGGCAAAAAATAAGAACATATTACTCTTTGCACTTTTTCCCTAAACCCCCATTTTTTTGAGATATGGGGCATTTACGGGCCTTTTTGGGGCGATTTTCAATTCGATGCTGTAAGCGGCCAAATTATCCAAATTTCAAAATCTAAAAATCCCCTGAGAGGAGAGGTCAATACCTTTCTATTGATGTGCCACATGACCCCTGTTGCTCAAAAATTTTGGGGGCCACGACCCCCCAAAAATTTTGGGGTTTTGGAGGGCCGTAAGTCGAAAATTTCAAATGGCAAGGGTATGTTTTGATTTCATATTTGGATTCTACGCGAAAAGTTACGTAGAATTGATATGGCGCATGGCCTATTTTCTCAAATTTTTTTTTGCCCCTTATTTTCTCCAAAAATACACGGCTTCTTATGGGGAAATGGGGTTCTTCAGTAATTTGGAGCAAACAAGCCTTGCGCCATATCAATTCTACGTAACTTTTCGCGTAGAATCCAAATATGAAATCAAAACATACCCTTGCCATTTGAAATTTTCGACTTACGGCCCTCCAAAACCCCAAAATTTTTGGGGGGTCGTGGCCCCCAAAATTTTTGAGCAACAGGGGTCATGTGGCACACCAATAGAAAGGTATTGACCTCTCCTCTCAGGGGATTTTTAGATTTTGAAATTTGGATAATTTGGCCGCTTACAGCATCGAATTGAAAATCGCCCCAAAAAGGCCCGTAAATGCCCCATATCTCAAAAAAATGGGGGTTTAGGGAAAAAGTGCAAAGAGTAATATGTTCTTATTTTTTGCCGTAGATTTCGAATCCAAAGTCAAAACATACCCTTCCTATTTGAAAATTTCGAGAAACGGGGGGGCTCCCCCCCAAAACCCCCCCAAGGGGCCATTTTGGGGGGCTGAAAATATTTTCATTCGATTCTTTGGGGCCGATTTACCCCATGAAAGTTTTGGTCCCGAAGCTCAGTTCTCCGCCGTTTTTGAGAAAAAGATAGTGGACGGGTGGTCTGGATCACCCTGTATAAGCAGAAACAAGCGAACTGATTCGAGGATGGCTGACCAGGCCGGCACTCTAAGAATGAGAATTTCACTCCTCCGTTTCGTTCATAACGTTGCTTTGACAGATCTCCACACCACTGTTTGGCTTTTCAAAAGTTGGTACCTCTCCTCTGATAGCGAAGGCCACCCAGGATAGACGTAAGTGCAATCTGTGATGAGCCTCAAAACTCATTAGACCATGTGCTAACCATAACACATACAGAAATCAGTTTGCTTTTACAGAAAACCACTTACCCTTCTCCTCCCCGCACACCGGACCTCTGTCCCGACGGCCAGGCAGTGTCTTTTGTCCTCCCGAGCGACCCGACCCGGACCCTCACCCTTGATTTTACGCTTGATTAACCATTTCACCGTCACGCTAGGATTCGTCCAATTTTCAAAAAAAATTGTTTCGCGTGTACTTAGCAATTTTTTCCTTACTCTCCGTTAAAAGACGAATTAAAAGAGGTCTCATTCATAAAAATCGGCCGAATAGAAGAGAAGTTACAGTATTCGAAATCCGAAGAAATCAACGAAACTTCTCCAGACAAAAAAGAAACGTATAAATTACAATTAAATATAATTGACCTCAGAATTTGACAAGTAATTCAATTATTTAACGGAGAAAAAATTGGGGGAAATTACAAAAAATTCGCCTTGTGTGCCGAAGTGTCGCCGAATTTTGACCTGAAGATAAGGTTTGAATAGCAGCAGTACTACATACAATACACGGTGTGCCTGAACGAAAAATTTTTTTTTGTGTCAAAATCGAAAATTCTTTATATTTTTTAACTACAGTGTCTCTTAATTCGTTTAAGCTAAAAAAAATTCGTCAAGATTCTGGAAAGTAAAGGCGCTTTAAAAGTATTCTGGGGCTATAATAGCTAAATCACCGGGAGTAAATCCCGTTATATTATTAAAAAGAAACTGACTCCATAGTTTAATGCCTTAGTTTCTTGAATACGATTATTTTAAGCACTCAAACATGTACACCACCAATTATAGCCATGGGGTGATTTCCTGAGAGCCGATAATATCACGAATTTCTCATAGAACCTTTCAAAAATGGCTTTCTTTTTGGGTAGCCGAATCGGTCATCGAACCGGGATTTAAATGGAAGCTGATAATAACACAAAGCTCTGAGAAAAATTTTGAGATGAGTATCGGAACGGTTTGTAAATAACGAGGAGAGGCGGGCAAAGCGGCTAAAATCCTATCTAATTTTTACCATTTTTCTGTTGAATGGATGTTGCCGCGGACTGCTAACTGTGTCCACACATGGTTTCTGTTCTGGTTCTGGTTTTCTGATATGCACATCGATACGTGAGTATTTTTACACGTAGAATCCAATGTTCACGTCAGTAAGTCGACACATTTCGATTTTTTCGATTTTATAGGGAAAATTGATGGTTTTTCGGGATTGAAATTATTATTGTTTCATGAAAAGTAAATGCACCCAAAATGATTATAGCATATTGATTTTTACATATTTGCACTCACGAAATTGGTTGGTAAATTCAACGAGTGGGTGCGTCGACTTGGTATATCAAGTTTCTGCAATTTTTTACGGCAAATCGGTAAATTTTCGGGATGTAGATTGCTTACTTTCAATTCATGAATGAATAAAGCATGAACATGGTTGAACTTCTTTGCATGGAAATACGTTTAAAATAACAAAATCAAGACATATCTAATGCAATTGCACTTATATCGAGTCAATTTCTTTTCAATAATATAACGGGATTTATAATGCCAGTGATTTGGGTATTTAAGCCCCAAAATACCTTTAAATCGACTTTATCTTTCAGGAGTTCGACAACATTTTTTCTTTCTTTGCTTCAATTATTACGAAGCACTTTTCTCTAAGAATCTGATAAGGTTTTGCTTGGGGCAGATCAAAAAACTGAAACTCGTTCGAATGGCTTTTTACATTCACAATACACGGTCTCGTCAAAGTGCGTCGTTGACCTCTCAGTGTTGGATCGTATGAATTCTCTTGTTGTGCTACTTGCCTATTTTGAAATCTCTGTAAATTAAAACTAAAGGGGTTGATATGTGCGAGTTAATGACGCGCCTTATCAACACATTAAGTTGGAGTTCACTGCTTGTTTTTGCCTTTTCTCGTTTGTAATTTTTTTTCTGAATCAGATTTTTTTCTTGATACCTACATTTGAAAAAATTACAACATTTGCCGGCATGGGCCGCGGCCCATGTGGCCACCCCCTAAATCTGGTCCTGGACGGAATGTCCAAATAAAAAAAAGCTATTGCGGAAAGTCTAACTCTTAGGGGCTACAGCCAAAAGGCATACAATAAAATGGCGACTAAAATAATGTCTAGAATGGAACAAGCCTCCGCCAGTCAACAAACTATGCCTTTTGAATGACTACCAGATGGTGAACCTGTAGGATCTACACAACGTACAAATGGACTGAGTTAAGCAGAAAGGAACCAACCCATATTTTGGAAAAAATTGAGTTATGAATGGTTTTGAACTCAACCACCGCTCTACTATCTATCGCCAAAAATTCAAAGTTTTTGTTTGCAGAAATAGAACTTGAAGTTTATCTTTTACATTGCGTCTTATGCAGGAGCTAAACTTTAAACCTCTTTTTCTCGGTTCGATCCCGATGTGGCTTATGGTTCCTTTCTGTTTATTTCCGTCCAAATAGGGGTTCTCGAAATGGAACTAATTATTTAATGTCTCAGCCATTTCTGCACGAAATTCTTTGGAAATCTCAAAAATGATCTAGGATACGTCCCAAACAAATCGGTTACCTTCAAATATCGTTGGGTCGACGATCTTTGAAAGGTAACAGTCAACAATTCCATTTTACGAGCCTCTTGGGAGCATTCGGTTTCAGCCAGTGGCGTGGCGTGCTTTGAGATATATCGATTGATCTGCCATTGAAACCTATGGTAAAGGATCGATTAACAAGGTGTTCGCAGCGAGCACCTTAATAATCGATTCTTTACCACGGATTCAAATGGGGAAGTATCGATAATCGATCATTCACACCACGCCACTGGTTTCAGCGGGAAGACGAGTTATGTGTATATCGCTCATGGACTGGTTGTGAGGTAGGAAGTGAATGGGCACCTAAGTGAACCTAACTTTGATCTTCGTTTTATCTAGAGACAAGGAGCGTCCTTCTACGAATCTCTTGAAACAGGATTTATCGGCCATTCTAGAAGTGTGGTTCGTTTATCGGCCATTCTAGAGGGGTGGTTCGTTAACGCTAGGAAAAGGTCTACAGATTGGAAATGAAGCTACTAAAAGCATGTCCAAACGTGTATTTTGTTCGCATTAGACTTATCTGCTGAATTCAAATTAGACCTTGCACAAAATTAGACTTACAGTTTTCAGACATGATGCTTTTGAACGTGCACATCTTCATCGATCATCTAAGGATATAAATTAACCTTATGTTAGCACACACATAAGACTTATCTGTACCTAGATATTATTTTGATGGCCAATTTTTATTATACCTAGACATTTTAAGTGCAGTCCAATGATGACAGACTTTTTATGGAAGCTTTTTTTCTGATAGGTCCTCTGTCCATCAATTTAAAAAAACACATAAAGTGGCGGGGCTTACGAGTCGGAAAATTTAATTTTCCTGAACACTACGTTGCATTAAAATTAATACAGTTGGGCTGTGGCCAACTCGAGAAAGAACTGGGACTTACCGATAGTCGGTAGAAACTTTTAAGGCCATATTCATCGTCATTTCTTATAAAATGATTCTGAAACGCTTCCAGTATTTTGAAGGTTTAATTAATAATGGAGAATTTGCACACAAAAATTTTATTGTTTTATCTGAGAGTGCCTATTGAGTTGAGTTCGCAGTATTTTTTACAATTTTTTTCTGGTATGGGAAATTGGAGAAAAATGTATTTAAAAGTGAAAAAATGTGCCACTTTATGACGTCATCTGGCGGTATTTCCCATTTAAACGCACGTATTTTAGCAGATTTGGTTATTTAGCCATATTATCTCCGATAATTGATCAATTTCAAAACCAAGGATACCCACGTCCTCAGTTTTCCTGGTAGTATCATTTTAAAGAAGAAATTTACAAAATTTCAGACACCTGCAAATTTTCTATGCCGAAAAAAATTACCTAATGGATTTCAAGTTTTGTGAAATGTATTCGCCTTTTGAAACCCTTTTCATCTCTGCTTATAAGGAAGATAACACAGCGAGGTCTCTGAAATTATGGTCACTGGTAGTAGAGTACCTGTATAGAGAGAGTATGGACAGCTCGAAATATGTAGCTCTTAGGGCCTAAAAGGGTAGGTAACCTTTGAAAACGAAAAATGTCACTGTCAATCTCTAGACTCCAAAATCAAACGAAAATGGACAAGAAAATTCATAAGTAAGCATTTTCCCGCAAAAATGAGTAATAAGTTTATGCAAAAAACAAGTCAAATACGTGCTTCACCAACGACAGCTCCCAACAATTGTGATTATAAATCACTCTGGATAATTTGAATTCATAGATTGCCTACCCTTTTGGGATCTAAGAGCTCCATCACCTAACCTCAAAATTTTCGACATGTCCATACTCTCCCTATATAGGTACTCTAACTGGTAGGGGTTCCCCAAAAATGGACTCAATTTCCGGTTGAAAGTGGGAGAAAGTTTTGTCTATAAACTCACTTGAGCGTCGACAAGGAGCCGTTTCATGAGCGCCATGGACGTCTGGAGGACGAAGTCTTGCCGGGAGGATTCCTCGGGCCCATTTTCCTCCGCGGTCAAACATTGGTCGGCCACAAGGGTTGCCGCGATCTCCTCATTGAGACACTCGAGCACCGTAATCGCTGCAACAAAAACCAAAGGAAAAATCAATTCAAGTATCATCGACGAGAGGTATCAAACAGACGGTCACATTTCGTCGCTTGAAATTTCCGAAATGTTCTGGATCTTTTACATTTTCCGAAACATTCTCGGAACTTTCGAAAAATCTAAAAGGAATCCCGGAACTTTCGACGGTCGTGGAGTGGGAGAAATTGGGAAAAAAAGTTCCGGATCTCTGAAATTTTGACGGACATAGAAAGTAGAGCACCTGTATAGCGAGAGTATGAACAGATCGCTTCATGGATGTCTTAGGGCCCAAACTGCAGCCATCCTTCTAACCAACTTCTGACACACAATTTCACTGCCAGTCTGCGGAATTTGCAGATTCTAATTCTAACCAAGATGGCCAAGAATGTACAGAAATGAGCGTTCATTTGCAAAAATGAGTAAAATGCAAAAACTGAGTCAAATACGTGCTTTATGTATAAACGACGGTTCGTAACAATAGTATTAGTAAATCGTTCTGGATAATTGCAATTCATAGGTTGGCTGCATTTTTGGGCCCTAACTTTATTCGCAGAAGCATCGGTGAAGACCTGATGGATTTTCGGAGTTTCACATCTGTCCACACTCTCGCTATGCAGGTACTCTAATAGGAAGGGAGCACTGTACCTGAAATAAGGGCGTAACTTAGTGGAAGAACTACACATTGAGATGAGCCCAAAAAAGCATTGAAATATATGGGAGACAGGGTTCATTACAGAGTGTAGTTACGCCCTTATGTCAGGTACAGTGCTCCCATTTCATGTCCGTCGAAATTTCTGAGATCCGGAACTTTTTTTCCAATTTCTCCCACCCCATGACCGTCGGAAGTTCCGGAATTCCTTCAGATTTTTTTCAAAAGTCCCGAGAGCGTTCCGTAAAATGCATAAGATCCGGAACATTTCGGAAATTTTAAGAGTTCTCGGAAATATTCAGGAAAATCTCAAAAGTTCCGGAATTCGGAACTAGTTACAGGAAATGGGACGATTTGACTTACATCCCCACCCGAAAATATTAAGATATCGTATGAAATCCGGCATCGATGCCATTCTCGCCGGAGAAGGTGCGACGGATATATCTGCCAATAAATAAACTTCCCAGACACCAGGAGCCGAAATATTAGAACTCGGTGCTCCGTCCGCCGTTGCCATTTAACACGAAATCTCAGGATTTCCAACGAGTTCCGGTTGCGGTTAGAGCACTATCCGCGTCGTGCGGTTGCGGAACGAACATGACAAAGGCGTTGTCTGCCTCTGCGAAAAGGTGGGTAACGCGAAGGGCTTCGCTCGCGGAATTACTGTTATTACCGACAACGACGATATTTCATCCCGATGTTCCGCCGCGCTTGGTTCCTGCATGGGCTTTGCTTTCCTTCCCGCAGGCTCCGGGTCACAAGTTCGAAAACTAGGTCTCGCTATCTTTAAAACTTTACACCAGGGTTTTTCCTACACTGAGAAAATGATACGGTTAAAATTACCGAGTTATATTGGAGATGTTGCATGTGTGAGGAATTTGCGATTTGACTAGTGATTCTTATGTAAAAGTTCGCGAGAAACACGATGGTGCCACTGGTTTTCTCTGAAATCAACTCCCAAGCTCAAAAAAAGCTCTCAAGTTGAGGCCAAAACGGAGGGGATATCCCACGCTATCCTGAGAGTCCACCTCTGCATCAAGACGAACTCTCCATGCAAAGATAGGGAGCAAATACAGTAGCAATGATGCCGTGTGTCAGTTTTAGAGTCTCTAAATAAAGTGGCAGCCCTGTCAATGTATTTGCTCCCTATCTTTGCATGGAGAGTTTGTATTGATGTAGAGGTGGACTCTCAGGATAGCGTGGGATATCCCCTCGATTTTGGCCTCAACATGAGAGCTTTTTTAGAGTATGGGAGTTGATTTCAGAGAAAACCAGTGGTACCATCGTGTTACATAAGAATCAACAGTCAAATCGCAAATTCCTCACACACGCAACATCTCCATTGTGAGCAAGGTTATGGCACGCTGCGGCACGGCGCGGTGTGCTGCCCGCTCGAAACGCGCACTGACGCCTACAAACCTAAGGGGATACTTCAAGCATTGCGCAATGCGTGAAGTAGTCCCTTAGGTTTGTAGGCGCCAGTGCGCGTTTTGCGCCGAGTTTGTTTTGATGTGGAGGTGGACTCTCAGGGTAGCGTGGGATATCCCCTTCATTTGGGCCTCAAGTTGAGAGCTTTTTTTGAGCTCGGGAGTTGATTTCAGAGAAAACCAGTGGTACCATCGTGTTTCTCGCGAACTTTTACGTAAGAATCAACAGTCAAATCGCAAATTCCTCACACATGCAACATCTCCATTCAATTTTTTCCAAGAAAGAATTGCGGGGGGACTTGCTTTTCTACAAGACTTGGCACTGCCGATGGACGCAAAAGCGAAGATTTTGAGTATCCGATTAGGGTGGAGCTTGTGAAATTTACCATCCTCAGCGGATCACATCGCGTTACACACACTCGTTACTCCGTAACTCGGTTCGTAACTCCGCGCAACTGCCAGCGTGAATAATTCCTCGCTAACGAATACCCTACCGCCGAAGTGAGCTTCGGCCCCACAGATAATTGGACGCCGGGCCTCATACATATGCTCCGGATCACAGAGAGCAAATCGATTCGACCCTTCTCGTCAATCGCAGCTTCTACTCGCGTCAATTCGCGAGGATTCGAAACCGGAGTTTATCAACATGACCGCGAGAGAGGCGCTTAATCCTGGTGGACTGACGAAATTGGATCTTGCGTAGTGGCGCATCGTGTTTTGCGATAAATCGATTGATCTCTCATTTAAACCTATTAAAAAGTATCGACAAATAGGATGTGATATTAGTACTTGTGAATAAACAATGAGGCCCCCTGGCCGCTACGCGGTTCAACCTTCAGAGGGCGCTTCGTGCTCTCGTAGGCTCGCTTCGACAAAAGAACGACCAAAAGAATGACAATTTTTAATACTCAACTCTCATTTGTCCAATCTCTTTCTAGGTAGGAGAGATTGGAGAATTCGAACGGCACACGGTGGATCGAGTCAATGGGAGAGGTCGGACAAAATGTGAAAATTTTAAATGCTTTTAACTCCATTTATGCCAAACTTTGAGGTTCTGAAAGTGGTTTCATTGGTTTTCTCGTAAAATTGTCTTCTTGTAGCACCCCTTAATTTAAAAATGGGACGAAAAAAACATCAAAATTCGCAGATTTTGAAAACAATTTCATATCCGACCTCTCTAATTGACTCGATCCACTGTGCGGCAGCATTACTGTAGAAGCATGTATGGAAAGNGGGGGGGGGGGGTTGGCAAAAGAGGGGTGTTTTCGACTTAACGGCAGGGGTCCGCACTCCCGTCTGCATCAGATAACCCGGGGGCGTCCGTTTCTCATTTGGAGACAATTGCCTGTCGATAGCCGCAAGAATCATGAAAATCGGCCCGGTATAGAACGCTGGAACTAAGCGTTACCAGATGCGTAAATTCAGGAGATCTCGGAGCTAGCTATCTTCTAGAAAAGTTCATGCGGACAGCTCGTTGCTCTTTCCTGCGCTCGGCTGTGGAGTTGTGTGGTTTCTGCTCGAAACGGGATAAGTCTTTGCCCGTAGACGACGGGGAGACGCGGAAGGGATCCCTTCTGACCCTTGGGCCGGGCGCCGAGCGTGAACTTTGATTACGACTTTCTTCTCGACTCCGAGACTCTGACCTGCGCCTCCCGGTTTACTTTCACTCTCGAGCGGCTCCCAGCTATTCCGGTAAAATTGAATTAGGATTGTCCGCCCCCACTCCCGCGCTATGGAAAAAGGGCTTTTGAAATTTCGGACGGCGCCAGATTTCCCTCCATAAAATACAAGTCCCTAAACACTGGAAAAAAAAACACATTGAATCTAGAGTCCAGACTCTTGAAAACATTGACAAGAAAAATACTCTTGATTTAATCAGATTTTTGCTTCAATAAAAAGGAAATCCGCTCAAATTAAGAGGCTTGGTTCTTGATTTAAGTGAAAATCCGATTGAATCAAGAGTATTTATTCTTGTCAATGTTTTTCAGAGTCTGGACTCTAGATCCGATGTTTTTTTTTTTTTTTCCCCAATGTAAAATACAAGTCTCCAAATAGCAAAAGGAGCTCTCGCGCGTGTGGGGGCGATTTGCGATTTAGGTGCTGATTCCTGCGTAAAATTTTGCGAGAGACATGAAGCACTGGTTTTCTCTGAAAGGGAGCTCAGAAGCGTCTAATCGGAGAATTTCATTGAAAGGAACCTCCGTCCTGTGCAGGGCCTAATTTAGGGGGTGGCCACTTTGACCGCGGCCCATGGTGGCAAATTTAGGGGGTGGTAAATGTTGCAATTTTTTCAAATGTAGGTGTCAAAAAAAATCGGATTCAGGGAAAAAATTACAAAAGAGAAAAGGCGACAAAATCTCTAGAGAGTTAAAATATAGTAATTGCTCATTTGTTTGTCTTTCGGTGACACAAGAGACAGCGCCTTTCATTAGACTGGTTGAGAGAGACGCAATTTGGCCTGAAGCGGAACGGCGCAGAGAGCAATGATGACGAGGGCTTGAGATGAAAAGGAGAAGCCCTCGGCGCGGTGGTCGGCATGTGACACATATTAGCGCCTACAAGAATGCATGAATACTTCACGCATTGCGTCAGACACAGTGCGGTCAGCAGTGGTCGACGTGACTCGCATAGCGCCTGCAAGACTCCATGAATACCTCACGCACTGCGTCAAACGCAGTGCGGTCAGCAGCGGTTGGCGTGAAACTCATACTGCCTACAAGACTGCATGAATGCTTCACGCATTGCGTCAAAAACAGCAGCAGCGGTCGGTGGGAAACGCTTAACGCCTACAAGACTGTGAGGATACTTCCCGCATTGCTCCGAACACAAAGCGGTTGGTGTGGTGGCGGAAATTAAAGTTATTAAACCACATTCATGTTTATTCATTCATAACTTTTGCGTTCATTTCTCATTAACGAAA